TGCTCCAGGGCGCGGCAGCATGGTGGGATGGCCACACAGTGAAGAAAGTGGCAATGGGGAGCCAGCCTGGGTTGTAACTGGGGCAGATGGGAACTTTGCAAACTCTCCGCAGGGGGGGCCCTGCTGCCACCGTGCTGCAGCTCTGCGAGATGGTGCATTCTGGGAACTGGGCAGCTGTCCCATGGCGCTGCCGGCCCCGAGGCCATGCACCGAGCAGTGCCAGCAGCATGTGGGACAAGGATCTTACCGCTGGGAGGGAGGATGGTGGCAACATGGGGCCAGTTAGGGACCTGCCCATGCTGCAGGGAGCCCCGGGCTAGCCACCAGGTGGGGTGAAGCACTGTCATCTACCTGGCTTACTGACCAAGTATGAACCTGGTGGGTCCATGATCACAGCTGCCCCCATGCCCTGAGCTGAACTTTCCCAGGCACCCCCAGGGCCAGTACCACCCACAGTGCAATTGCAGCTGTGGCCCCTGCCAGGCTGGGAAACACCACAGTCGTGCCAGCGGGCGACATGGCTCTTGCTGCTGCAGGTCCCCTTTCCACCTGCTGGAGCCAGTGGGGCCATGCTGCCGGCTGGGAAGGGGACAGGATTGCTCGAAAGAGACAGACGCTAAAGCCAGTGGCGGTGAGGAGTCTGAGAGCTTGACCTTGCTGGTACTGCCAGCTCCTAGTGCTTACCGTGAACTGCCTACCTGTTCAGTCCCCACAGCTGGGGCTGAGGTGGCCTCACGCAACAGCTCTTGGGAGATCCAGCTCCTGTCCAGGGCCCTAGGTGCCCACGTGCGGAGGGAGGTGGGAGCTGGGTTGAGGATGATCGGCTTAGAGCTGTTATATCCTTAGCTCAACAATGGTATTTAAGAGTAAGAATGTAAAATACTAAATGGTTAACTGGTTAACCGACCCTACCCATTAGCCCCAGCCCCATGGGCAGCCAGCCAGAGCACCCCAGCCCCTCTCCCTTTTATTGGTTAACCATTTCAGTGACCTAATTTTAATCATTTAAACAGTTAACTTTTTAAATGGATATTTACATCCCTAATGAAGAGGGAACAGAAGCAGGGTGTGAGAGGGAGAACGTGTGGCTGCGGCTGTGTCCCCCCTACAGTGATTCAGCTGGCAGCCCAGCTCTGCAGGGCCAGGCCACAGGCATTCTTGGAGATTTCAAGGTGCAATACACAGAAAACAAAGCACAAAATCTCAATGGATCTGTGGAGTCTTCTCAAACCCGTGGGAGCCGTGCCTGAGCACCCGGAGGGCAAATGAGCCGGGCTGAAGCATGTCCTTGTAGCCTTTAGCCTGAAATCGCTGGGCTTGCAATGGCCCTGCAACCTGGCTGAAATTGTAAACATGTACATTCACACGTTTCAGGAGAGTCCGACTTAACGTTTCCCACTTCCACCCACATCCTCGCATCCCCGGCTCTTCCTGGGCCTCGGACACAGCGTCATGCAAACGGCTCCATACGTGTTGCTAAGGTCAGAGTGACCTGCTGGCTCCACCAGCGCTCAGTGCACCTCCGCCAAAGTGACACGGACCGGGCAGCGCCAGTTCCCTGGATGACGCGCTGGGCGCTGCTGACAGTGTGTTCTGTCCCTGCCAGTGTCTCAGCGTGCAGGGAACGGGCCTGGCATGGCACTGAGGTTCCTGGGACAAGCCGCATGCTGGACTCTCAGACTCGGGTGGCTTTTTGCATCTAATTCCCTTGGTGGTTTTTTTTTTATTGCAAAAGACAAAAAGAATAAAAATGGATCCCTCCACCAGCATGGCGTTCAGTTTCAGAGTTCATGGCCCATTGAATGTGCTGGGATCGTGCCCAGCTGCCCCCCAGCACACAGCGGCACGGCTTCTAATGCCAGGCTGAGAACACACCAGCCCATCGGTGTGCCAGGCAGTTCTAACCCCCGACGGGGTGGGAGGTGGCAGGGCAGCCGAGCTGAGCGTGCCCGGTGTGGCGAGAAGGGCTGATGCTAATATGGGCATTGCTGCATCCAGGGGTGCAAACCTCCAGCACAGGGTTCCCCGTTCCAGATGTGAACACGCCAGGAGCCTCTGTGTCCCAAGGGTGCCAGGCCTCACCCTGCTTGAACCGTCTGGGCAGCAATCAGGTGCTCAGCACCTCCAGCCAGGTGGAGTCCAGTCCCCTCCCTCCTCATAGAGAGCTTCAGGTCATTCCCCCTTCACTGCTCCCCAGCCTCACCTCCCTCTCTGAGCCTCCCCCCGCACTGACCAGCCAGAGCCCTGGCACTGCCATACCCAGCCCAAGGCAGGCTTAGCCAGGTGGCTGCTGGCCCCCATGATCCTCCCACTCCCACCCCATTCTGTGTGCTAAGCACTAGGCTGGACCTGTCAAGCAGAATTGAACAGCTGCCTCCTGCGCAGTGGCTGGGTGGTCCCGGCTCCCAGCCCCGGGCAGCCCAGGCCCCACACAGTTCACCCTGCCCCTCACAAGCCTGCACGGCACGGGCCTCCCCAGCCTGCTGTGACTCTGGCACCTCTGTTGTGCCACCAGCTTGAGCTGGGTGCTGCCCTGCCTGGTGCGGGGGAGGTGTGATCTGGGAGCGTTTCGCACTCAGGCTGCCCAGGGGCACATGGCCACACCAGGTGCCAGGCCCTGGGGGCCTCATCACACTTGCCTGGGAACCTGCCCCTTCTGTACAAGGGACAAAAGCCACTGTCCATTTCAAACCCATCTGGGCACCTCGCTGGGGCCGTGCCCCGCACCATTGCCCCCTGCTCCCCCCCACAGTTCTTTGGGGCACAGCATAGGGCCACTCAGGGTGACCATGGCCAGCAAGGGGCATGATGCAGTGGAAGGGGGTAATACCGGAGGAAGGGGCTTGTCACTGAAAGCTCAACCCATGGGGTGGCTGCTCGGGCCAGTGGGAGGTGCAGGGCCTGGGTCGCTGTGCCAGCCCGCCCAGGAGGCGTTTGGAAAGAGCTCTTTGCTCTGCCTAGTGTCAATGCCACAGTAGAGAGGGCAGCTGGGCTCAGCCTGCCCAGGGAGAGGCAGGGGCCTCCTGGGGGGTCTGGCCCTTTTAGCCATCTCAGCTCACCGCCCAGGCTGAGGGACATGACACAGAGACTGCCCCTGGGCTGCGGGAGATGGCACCGCTGCTCTGGGAGTTATCATGCTAAAATCCGGCTGGGGCCGTCCTTAGTCCAGCTGGCACTGCCCTCCGAGCTGCAGCTGCACCCTGCCTGCTGCATGCTCTATCTCTCCTCCCCCCACCCCCCCGGCCCAGCAGCAATGCCATGGGAATCAGGACAGAGGCAAAACCCTATTTTCTCTCTGCCCCTCCCCACTCCCCATGGTACGGTTCAGTCTAACCAGCTTAGCGTTAGTCTGGGTCACTGAGTCAACAGCTCGCTGACCCACATAAGCCAAAGCGCCTAGCGGCCCAGGCCCCTCGTGCCCGCATAGCCCCAGCAGGCACGGCCTTTTGAAGCTGGGAGCTATAAATTAAAGCAGGAGTCTGAATAGCATGAGCCGGAACTGGCTCAGAGTCCCTCCCAGGGCAGCTAGCAGGGTCCCTGAGCGGTGGGGCTGGCTCAGCCGGCTGGAGCTGGGGCCAATGGCTGCCTCTCACCATTGGGCAGCGCTGCCCCAAATCCCCCTCACTCACCCCCATCCCTGGGGCTGGTCAGCAAATGCTCAGCACAATGTGAAGTGGGCTGAGCCTGGAGGCTCAGCACTTGGGCTGGCTGCTGAAGGGGTCCCCAGAGCCAGGCTAGGAACAGAGATTGGGGCTTGGGGCGGGCGCTGGCTGGGGTCAGATTGCTGGGAATGCTGAGCTTGCTTAGCAAGGCCGATGGCCTAGGCCAGTGAGCCGCAGACTGTGGCGCACGAGCCTCAAGTGGCTCCTTAATGTGTCTCCTGCTGCGCTGTGCAGCCCATGATATTAAACCCCTGTGTGATTTAATTATTAACTGATCAGAGTTATTAACCAATCAGGAGCCATTTACTATATAATTTAACCAATTGTAGCTGATCAAATAATAAACCTCGTCAGTGATTTTGCTGTGAGAATAATAGAGACATCTTTCTCTATATAGAAACGCACTATTTCCCCTGTCATGCTGGTTAAATAGGAATAGCGCTAGAGTGCCAGAAACAATGAATTCACAGTGC